GCTGATCCCCCCGCGCTGGAACAGCTCCTGGCAGCTCCCAGCCCGGGTCCCTGGGGATGGCTGGCAACAAAGCAGCTTTTAAAAATAACCCCGTGGCAGATATTGCATAGCTGGAGCCTTCCCAAGCCATCCAGCGGGGTCCTGCTGCCAGCTGCAAACCTCAGCAGTGCCTAAAAATGGGAAGCCCCTGCCCCTCGCGGGATTCCAGCGCTTACACTCTTTTTCCATGGTTTGTTTTCGTTTTCCCACCTGTGGGAACCCAGACCCTCCCCCCTCGCTGGTTTTTTAGCAGCACTTCATTTTCCTCAAGTGCTGCCTCAGCATTTCTTGCCCTGCGTTTTTTTTTTTGTTTTTTTTTTTTTTGCTGTTCTTTTTCCCTCTTTCCCTCCTTTCCCTGCTGGATGAGTCAAAGCTCAGAGTCAGAACTGGAGAATCCCAGCGTGGTTTGGGTGGGGAGGGATCTGCAACACCCCCAGTCCCGCCCTGTGCCGTGGGCAGGGACACCTTCCACCACCCCAGGTTCCTCCAAACCCCATCCAGCCTGGCCTGGAAACCCCCAGGGATGCAGGGGCAGCCCCAGCTGCTCTGGGAATTCCATCCCAGCCCCTGCCCACCCTGCCAGGGAACAATTCCTCATTCCCAAGATCCCATCCAGCCCTGCCCTCTGGCACTGGGAGCCATCCCCTGGGCCCTGTCCCTGCAGGCCTTGTCCCCAGTCCCTCTGCAGCTCTCCTGGAGCCCCTTCAGGCCCTGCCAGGGGCTCTGAGCTCTGCCTGGAGCCTTCCCTTCTCCAGGGGAACATTCCCAGCTCTCCCAGCCTGGCTCCAGCCCTGGAGCAGCTCCGGGGACTCCTCTGGGCTCTCTGCAGCAGCTCCGGGTGCTGCTGCTCTGTCCCCAGGGCTGGGGCAGCTCTGCAGATGGGCTCTCACCTGGGCTCAGGGGCAGAATCCCCCCCTCCTTTCCTGCTGGGAAAGGGGCATGGGGGGTTTGGGGACCCCAGTGCACGTGGCCAGGGCATGTCCAGCCTTTCCCAGCACCCCAGGATTCCCTCCAGGCCATCCCCCCACGCTGTGTCTGTGCTGGGGCTCCACCAGGTGCACAAGGATTGCTCAGCTCCCCCTCCCCTCCCATCCCATCCCATCCCATCCCATCCCATCCCATCCCCTCCCACCCCCCCCCATCCCCCCCCATCCCATCCCACCCATCTCCCCATGTCCCCATGTCCCCATGTCCCCATGTCCCCAGGCACCACGCCCACGGGGATGGGAAATCTCCCCCTGGAGGGGAAATCTCCCCCCGATGGGAAATCTCCTCATGGCTGCCCTGCACAGCCCTTTCCAGGAGGGATTTTCACAATATCCCACCCAAACCTCCCCAGCCCAGCGCCGCTCCCTCTCCTCCTGTCCCTGTCCCCTGGAGCACAGCCCGACCTCCTGGCTGTCCCCTCCTGTCAGGAGCTGTGCAGAGCCACAAGGTTCCCCCCCCGAGCCTCCTTTGCTCCAGGCTGAGCCCCCAGGTCAGGCAGGAACTGCTCCAGCAGCATCCCAGGCTCCCAGCCCAAGCTCTGCCCACCAGGACACCCTGATGGCCCTGCCCTCCAAAGCACAGCTCTGAGGGTCCCACACGGGGCTGGACTCCTCTGGCAAACTGACTGGGGAATGAATAATGCCAGTGGAACTCCAGGAGGGCAGGGGAAGCTCCCTGCGGGCACAAAGCCCAGCAGAGCCGGGGGCAGCGGGAGCGGAGTGGATCTCCAGCGCCCGGCTCCTTCCTGCACGTCACAGAACATCTGTGAATCTGCACAGAGCTTCCTCCACTCGGCCATCCAGGAGCCTTCCTGCCGCTCCTGGAGCAGCGGCGCTGCCCTTGGCAAGGCCAGCCCACCCTTCCCGCCGCTCCAGCTGGAAAATCCCTCTGGATGGAGGGCACCGAGACCCACAGTGCTTGTGTGGAGGTGGCTCAGGGGATCCCACCTGTCCCACGCCTGCACAGGAGGATGAACCCCCCCGGGGCCAGGTCTGGGCATGGCAGGACTGCTCCAGAGAGCTCCGGCATAAATCAGCATGGAAACCCTCACCATTAAACATGGCTGTTTGGCACTGAAATCCTGAAATCCTCACCATTAAACATGGCTGTTTGGCACTGAAATCCTGAAATCCTCACTATTAAACATCTGTGTTTGGCACTGAAATCCTGAAATCCTCACCATTAAACATCTGTGTTTGGCACTGAAATCCTGAAATCCTCACCATTAAACATGGCTGTTTGGCACTGAAATCCTGAAATCCTCACCATTAAACATCTGTGTTTGGCACTGAAATCCTGAAATCCTCACCATTAAACATCTGTGTTTGGCACTGAAATCCTGAAATCCTCACCATTAAACATCTGTGTTTGGGCACTGAAATCCTGAAATCCTCACCATTAAACACTGACATCCTCACCATCAAACATGGCTGTTTGGAACTGAAACCCTGAAACCCTCACCATTAAACACGGCTGTTTGGCACTGGAATCCTGAAATCCTCACCATTAAACATCACTGTTTGGCACTGAAATCCTGAAATCCTCACCATTAAACGTCACTGTTTGGCATTGAAATTCTCACCATTAAACACTGACATCCTCACCATCAAACATGGCTGTTTGGAACTGAAACCCTGAAACCCTCACCATTAAACACGGCTGTTTGGCACTGGAATCCTGAAATCCTCACCATTAAACATCACTGTTTGGCATTGAAACCCTGAAATCCTCACCATTAAACGTCACTGTTTGGCATTGAAATTCTCACCATTATTTGGCACTGAAATCTTCACCATCAAACATCGCTGTTTGGCACTGAAACCCTCCCCACTAAACATTGAAATCTTCACCATTAAACATGGCTGTTTGGCACTGAAATCCTGAAATCCTCCCCACTAAACATTGAAATCTTCACCATTAAACGTTGCTGTTTGGCATTGAAATCTTCATCATCAAGCATCACTGATTGGTGTTGAAATCCTGAAATCCTCACCATTAAACACTGAAACCCTCACCATTAAATATCTCTGTTTGGCACTGAAACCTTCACCATTAAACATCACTGTTTGGCATTGAAATTGTCACCATTATTTGGCACTGAAACCCTCACCATCAAACATTGAAATCTTCACCATCAAACATGGCTGTTTGGCACTGAAATCCTCACCATCAAACATTGAAACCGTCACCATTAAACATCACTGTTTGGCATTGAAACTCTCACCATTATTTGGCATTGAAATTCTCACCATTAAATCACTGTTTGGCACTGAAACCCTCATCATCAAACATCGCTGTTTGGCACTGAAATCCTCACCATTAAACGTCGCTGTTTGGCACTGAAACCCTGAAACCCTCACCATTAAACGTCGCTGTTTGGCCAGAACAGACTGAAGGAATTTTCACAATATCCCACCCTGAGCTCCCCTGGCCCAGCCTGGGGCCGTTCCCTCTCCTCCTCTCCCTGTTCCCTGGGATCAGATCCCAAATCCCCCTGGCTGTCCCATCCTGTCAGGAGCTGTGCAGAGCCACAGGGGCCCCCCTGAGCCTCCTTTTCTTCAGGCTGAGCCCCTTCCCAGCTCCCCCAGACCTTCCCAGCTCCATTCCTGTCTCTGAACACGCTCCAGCTCCTCAACATCCCCCATTCCATCAGGGTCGGGCACCCCAGGAGGGGGAAGGTGTCTTCCAGAGAGGGGGAGGCAGCAGGAACGGGGGGAAGGGGGTGTGTGGGTGTGGAAGCACCTGGCAGCAGCGAGGGACATGAGGGCAGAGCAGCTTATCAGCCAGGAGCCAGTTATCAGCCAGGAGCCACTTATCAGCCAGGAGCAGGTTATCAAGATCGCAGCAAAGCCCAGGCCCAGGCCAGCTCAAGGCTGGGGCCGGCTGCCTTACCCGGGGACAGGGGAGATAAGGGGCAGATAAAGGGTTTGGCCTTGGATGGGCCTTTCCCCTCAGTGCCTGGGGCGTGTCTGTGCCCCAGCCCCAGCCCGGGGCAGGAGTCACCCCCCGGCTCTGCTCCTGGGGGCCCTGGCGGGGACAGGGGGACTCCAGCCCCATTTTTGGGGAGGCACTCCTGATGCTGCAGCCTGACCCCGCTCTCTGGAGAGGAGGAACGGCGCTCTCCAGCGCTGGGGGTGGCTCTGAGGGCAGCCCCGACACCCCAGCGGTGACCCGGCCGGTCCCCCCGCTCCCGCAGGAGCTCCGGGGTCACCACCGGAGGGGCTGGCCCCGGGCACAGCTCCGGGAGCCGGAGCGGCAGAACCCTCCGGGAGCCTCCAGAGCCCCGCGGGGCGGCTCTCGGCACCCAGCACCGCCGACCCCGCGGGCACCGGAGCCGCGGGACGGGCCCGGGCTGCCCCGGGGCACAGCCCGGCTCTCCGCACCGGGGCACGGCGAGCCCAGCTCGGGCACAGGGAGCACCGAAGAGCCCGACTGCTGGCCCGGGCACCCCAGAGCAGGGCACGGTGAAACCCCCACCAGCAGCCGGGCACGGCGAGCCCGGTCCCCGAGCACCCGGGCACGGTGAGCTCGGTCCCCGCAGGGGCACAGCCCGCACCGAGACACGGCCAGCTCGGCTCCCCGCACCGAGACACGGCGGGCTCGGCTCCCCACACCAGCACAGCCCGCACCGAGACACGGCCAGCTCGGCTTTCCACACCGAGACACCCCGGGCTCGGCTTTCCACCCCGGCTCAGCCCGCACCGAGACACCCCGGGCTCGGCTCCCCGCACCGACACACCCCGAGCCGGGCATGGCCGAGCCCGGCTCCCCGCACCGGGCTCCCCACGGGGACTCGCTCCCCGCATCTCCCCCCGGCCGCGGCCACCGCCGTGCCCCGGGCACCTGCGGGCGCTGCCCGAGCCCCGCACAGCCCGCGGCCCCTCAGGGCCCGGCGCCTCCATCCTCATCCTCATCCTCATCCCCCGGCACCCGCACCCCGCCTGCCGGCGTCCCCCTGGTTGCACGGCTCCCACCTGCTCGCGGCGCTTCTGCCAGCGGCCGCAGGGACTCTCCTCCAGCACCTCGCTCTCCTCCTCGCTCTCCTCCTCCTTCTCCTGCGCCAGCCGCGCGTCCGGCTCCGGCACCGCCATCCCCGCCGCGATCCGCGGGCTGTACCCGGCTGTGCCGGGCTGTGCCGGGCTGTACCGGGCTGTGCCGGGCTGTACCGGGTTGTACCGGGCTGTGCCGGGTTGTACCGGGTTGTACCGGGCTGTGCCGGGCTCTGCCGAGCTCTAGTCCGATCCGATCCGCTTCGATCCGATCCGATCCGCTCCGAGCCGAGCTGATGCGCGCCGAACCGAAGCGAACCGAACAGAACCGAGGCGAAGGGAGCGAAACAGAGCCGAGCCGAGCCGCGCGGCTCCGCACCCCCCCGAGCCCCACCGCGCTCTGCCGGTGCCGCGCGGGGCCGGCCCGGTCTCGTCCCGCCCCGCTCCGGACGTGCGGCCGCGCACGCCCAATCCTCACCAT